CTTAAAAATTGTTTAAAGGCTGAAATGTGAAGTGCAGATCTTAAAAAGGTCTTTAAAAGGTCTTAAATTAGATTTTTTAAATCATGCAGATACCAGGTTATTTTATAGTACCATTTGGAAGCCCTTTTTAACTGTCCTTTTAGGTTGTTTTGAGAATGTTCTGTTATGTTATAAATGTTTTCTGAAATGTATAATTTAAAGCGTATATTACAACAGCGTTTCAATTTTATTGCATCTCTTTAACTACTTTTTAATTATGAAGTTGCTAGATTTTTATTATTATTACTAGGTTGTGGTTGAGGAGAGACACCCCCCATATGATTGTAAAGCGCTTTGGGTGTACAGCAAAACACAATAAAGCGCTATATAAATGCTTCCATTCATTCATTCATCATTACTATGGGCTTGTCCCCTACCCAAAACTTTAACCCCATATCACATTTATTTAAAGTGATCAAACTCTACTTTGCACTTATAAAAACATAAATGTAAATCATATTTTGAGTTCATTAAATATCTAACCTGAAGAGTTAGGTTTTTTTTGTAGCAAATAATTTTACTTTGCACAGTACTGCCATTATCATCTTTCAACCTGGTCATCTTCATGATCTGATTTACAACAAAAATCTGAAGATGTAATATTATTTTTCCTCTAAATAAATAAACAATGCATGTGATTGTTTGCTTTCTAAGAGTGGTTCCAACAGCAACATAGTTTCAAATGTGAAGTTATGTGAAAGACCGTTATTGATGTGTAAGACTGAAATGATCTAACTCGTATGTATGTGCTAAGGGCCAGTTCTCTGACTACACTCTCGATGTAACTCGAAGTATAAATTAGACACTATACTGAGATGAGATATTTTTAAACTAGGCCAGCATGTTGACACCAGTAATATATTGCGCCCAATGATATAACAACAAAAAGATCTAAGATCTATATGACATATACATTTATTTTAGTTATGATCTTTATATTATATTTAGGTTATTACAGCTATTGCATTATATTGTGTGACACATTAGGCTATATTGCATTTACTGTAATGACTGTGGTCAATATATGAAAGCAACTATTAGCTGTATTTAAAAAAGAATTAAATCTACATGAAAAAAATTACAAAAGAAACTTTTAGCTGAAGCATGTTTTAAATTGGGTTCCATAGTGTTAAAAAAAAAAAACTGTCTGCTTTGACATGAATAGACACATTTACACATTTTCAAACATTAGTGCTTGCAGAAATGAAGCCTGCAGGTAAGCTTGTCATACCAGAATTGCCCGGGCAGGTTACTCATAGTTGTTTGGTTACTGATGCATGTGTCGATAGCAGATAATAAAAGAGTTTTTGTGTGTGTGTGTGTGTGTGTGTGTGTAAAATATATATTATTTAAATGATTATTTTTGAAGTAAAGAAAATCAAAAGATGAGACCTCATAAATGGTATCTTGGTAAAGGTATGTAACCTATGAGGTCCAATAAAACCTAATAATCATCTAATAATTAACAAAGAATGCCTGGAATTAACACATTACGATACCATGAATATTTCCACTTGCAGTAAAAGCATTTGATCTTAAAATGAATTAATTTTTGACATTTGACAGACAGATCATTTGACAGACAAAAAGATATCAGGATATCTTCAAAACAGAAAAAAAAAACTTCAGGACATGGTGCTAATAATAACGTGTGTTAATTCTTGTTAAAGCAGATATTAACAATGCTTACTTGCAAGCATTTAAGTTCACAGATTTTCATAGAAAGTGGTGAATATGCCTTCAAATATATTATTATGCAGACAAACTAAATATTTGACATGCATCAGTAATACTGTTTGTTGTTGTAAGGCAAATTAGCATAATTCTTGCAGACCTTTCCAGTAAACAAACCATGTCTACATTTTTACTGAGCTACTCATCAAGTCTTTAGGCATTGTTGGTCAATAACCACATGTTTAATCTGATAAGCTTTGCTTTTAAATGCTTTCAAGGAATTTGTAGCTTTGAGCAAGTTTTTGAACAGGTGAGAACATGTCTTTTCTCTCCTGCTGCATCATACGCCCCTATTTCTCAGGGGGAAAACGGGTTATTTGAGACCTGTAGACGTGGAAGTCTGTAACAATGGAAATGTCGCAGCAGCAAACACAGTCAGTCAGCTTACCTCGGAGTCTGCGAAAGAGAAAGAAGGGGTCAGACATGACTAACATGTTTCAGCGGACCTGTCGACTGGAAATCAGTGTACCCACACAAATTGTGCATGTCGTTGGTACGGAACTTAAGGTGATTGTAGACCGGTAGGTAATGTGATAATATTGTAATCCATTGTTTCCCTTCATTGTGTTCTTTAAAAATTGCATGTTGCATGAATTGAGGAACTGTATAACAGTAGCCAAGCCCACATTTTAGAGTGGAAAAAATACCTATTGGATCTGTTTTTATTATACATGTGCAAAAGATACACATTGTGGTTTAACCTCTACACATTAAGTGCATTTTTAATACATTTTTAATTAAAAGACTTTAACAAATGGTCACTTAGCGGGAGTGGTTATGTCTGCAGCATTCTTGAGAACAAAGCACATATAGTTACTTTAGAAGTAATTCTGTAACCCTCAACTGTGTTTAAAACGTTTGATTAAGTTATCTTTACATTAAATTGAACTCATTTATAAAATCAAAAAAGAAAAATAGTATTAGAGGGGTATATTTTAGTTTTTTTTGTTTTGTTTTTTTGCACGCATTATGTGATAATGTAACAATAAAAATGCAGGTTTTTATTTATTTAAATATTTGTATTGACTACTAAAAATAAATAAAAAAAACAGTAAAGATCAGTGCTGTTAAACAACAAATAATAGTGCAACTTAAATGTTACGTAAAAACTAAAAAGGATAATGGAAAAAAGATCATGGGTAATAATGGATAATACAAAAACAGGTGTGCAATATTAACTGTAACTAGACTAGTAAATGTTGCTTCTAGACAACAAACCAATAGGCTTAACATTTGTATCCTCCATAGCACATAAATAATTTTTATGCCTCTAAATGTAATCAAATTAAGTTTACTCACTAACAAAGATGAATTATATTTTGGATGGGTGAAAAATAATGGCTTGCCTGCAGGCATCCATCCACATATGTGCAACCTCCACACCAGGGCCGTGCACAGGGGGGTGGCCCGGTGGCTAGAGCCACTGCCCCTTTGCCCTCATCGGCTGAGGTGCCCCTCTC